GACGCACAGAGCGCATGCACAAGCCTGACCCGGACCCCACGGCTGCACCTCTGCAGTGCTGTCCCCCATTATGGCCCCCATTATGTCTCCTCATCATCTCCATGTCAGGAGCGTGGGACTGGGCAGAGCATCTTGTGCAAGAGCCAGCACCTCTCCAGGACCTCTCCAGACAAGAGCATATTTGAAATTCCCAGAAGGTTTTGATGTGGTTGCTCAATAAAGTTCCTTAAAGAAACTGAATTGTCAGGGCTGTGTCCGTGTGGGATGGCTTGTTCTCCATGTGCCTCTCTCACAGTTTAACTACTGGGTTACTGGAGACAGCACAAACAGATGTCACTGCGGTGCCCCACAGTGTCCCTGGTGCTCTCGGCCACCAGGTCAACCCATCCCTCTGGTGCTGGGTGAGGTGCTGCTGGGTGGACTTCATCCTCCGTGAGGTCCCACCTGCTGCTGGTGCTCTCATGGAGTCTCCGTGAGCTCCTGGGACTCTGGTGCTGCTCTTGAAATGTCAAAACATGCCTTGACACTTCTCCTTTCTGGGCAACGGCTTGGTCACTGATTACTTGAAGTCCATGAGGATGCTGTTGAAGACTCATCTATGGTTACATTTCTCACCTCATATCCAAAACACTGGATTTTTGGCACATCCTACCCCAATGCCCTGCTCTTCCAAGAAGCTGTCTGAAGCTGCCCAGCTGCAGCCTGCTGTCATGTGCTGTCAAACTGGTGCTCTCCATGAGCTGCAGTGTATATAGAGCAACTCAGGTCTCCTTGCCACCAGCAATGCCTGCAGATGCCCCCGCAGCGATGTGCACTACCTGATCTCCATGGTCTTTTTTTCCCCATCCTAGGCACCCTCCAACCTGATAAGTTCTCGCAAGGGTAGGAAATGGATTTACCAGCCTGGGAAGCCCCAGGCCAAAATTACGATCGTGTGGAGAAAGGACTTTTTCTGAACCCTGGGCAGGACCTGGCCTCCTGGGGATGTGCTTCGCAGGACTCTGCAGCCCAGAGCCTCAGCACCAGAGCTCCCTGCCTGGTTCGCTGGGCTGCACCTCCAGCAAAGCACAGAAATACCGTGAGAAGGGAAGAGGCAGCTAGATTCATACCAGGGATTTAATGGAGGGGAATGAGGAAGAGGAGCTATCTTGGCCCTACTGAACTCCCTAGCTGAGCTTGGGGGCTTAACCTCAGCCCGGGGTACAGGGAGGAACGAGATTTTGGAATGATTCCTTCCCTTGACTTGCTGGGCACCCCGTGATCTTCATGGACAGGGTGAAGCAGCTTCCCAGGACACAGGTATAAGCCTGACAGAGCCAGACCTCCACCGCCGGTATCTGGTGATCCCCGGGATGGGGGTTTGCAAAAACACAGGCGACAGCCCTGCACAGCCTGAGGAGTGCTTGGGAAATGCATACGGAGGGGATGGAGAGATACTCAGTGCAGTGGTAACGGGCCGATAAAGTGTCTTGAACAGATAGAGCTGGTAGATGTGGTAGAATACGGTTCAAGTTGCAACAGGGCAAGTTCAAGTTGCAACAGGGCAAGTTCAAGTTGCAACAGGGCAAGTTTAGGCTGGACATTAGGAAGAAATTCTTCATGGAAAGAGGGGTCAGACCCTGGAACAGACTGCCTGGGGGGGGGTTGAGTCGCCATCCCTGGATGTGTTCAAGTGTTGTTTAGGTGGGGTGTTGGGTGATGTGGTTTAGGGGTGACCTTGTAGTGTAGGGTCAATTGTTGGACTCGATGATCCCAAGGGTCTTTTCCAACCTGAATTGTTCTGTGATTCTAGGATATTGAAAGACAGGAAAACCGCTGAACTGATCATAATCTGCATCAAGTGGATGAACTGGCAAAACTCCCAGCACATGGTGGGGGATTGGAGGGGGATGACAACACCCCCCGCTTGCTGCCAGACCCTGTGCTGCTCCTGCCTGCCTTGGGGGACCCTCCCTGCAGCTCTTGCTGCAGATCTGCCCTAACAGCTTTCCTCTTGACAATAAACCGAAAGTGTGAGAGAAATGATGCATGTCCTGATGTCCAGGGAGCGCAGGAAGAGACCATGCCTTGGCACAGTTTGCAGGGTCTTCGAGTTTCCCTGCCTGATGGCAGTGTGGGGAGGAAAGGCCTGGGGAGGAGGGTGCTGTGGGAGAGCTGAACAAAGCCTTGCTTAGGTGAGCTCAAAACTTCTATCGGTGGCTTCAGAGACATTGTCAAAGGCACGACATAAAATTAACTGAGAAGGCTGGAGAAGAGTAGACTCTGGAGAGAAAGTGATCTTCCAGTGACTGAAGGGGCTAGAGGAAAGCTGGAGAGGAACTGCTTACAAGGGCTTGTAGCAACAGGACGAGGGACAATGGTTTAAACTAGAGCAAGATAGATTTAGATTAGATGTTAGATAAAACTTCTTTACGATGAAGGTGGTGAGACACCGGCACAAGTAGCCCATAGAGGTGCTGGAGGCCCCATCCCTGGAGATATTCAAGGTCAGGATTGATGGGGCTCTGAGCAACCTGATATAGTTAAAGATGTCCCTGCTCACTGTGGGGGGGTTGGAGTAGGTGACCTTTAGAGGTCTCTTCCAGCCCAACACATTCTATGATTCTATGATTCTATGATTTTATGATTCTATAAGGCAAAGTCCTGGGCCATGCTTTGACCTTCAAGAACCTGGGCACCGGGCCTGACCCCCACAGGGGTGGAAGTTGTCCCCCCCTGCAGCACCTGGCTCGATGGCAGGCCAAGGAAGGTTGACCTGGCGGTAGATACAGGGAGATGGCTTTGCTGGGGCGATCCAGACACCACAGGTGGAAGGACGTTACTTCAGATCTATTTTTTTTTCCTGCTGTGGGACCAGGGAGGGGGTTTGTTCCTGAGGTTGTGGGTATTTTTGCACAGGGGAATGTGCCTGGTCTACCACTGGGATTAATAATTATGCCCAGTGAGATTAAGGAGAAGAAGCTGACTTTGGTTCACTACCCACCCCTGGACAAGGCTGATTCACTTGCTCAGTTACTGCCTTTATAGAGAGCAAATGGAGAGGGGCAGGGGAGGAGCAGTGAGAACGGGATAACGGGGGCGGAGGGTGGCAGAGGCTTGAGGAACCGGTGCTGATGGTCTGATGGCGAGTCAGGAGAATGGCAGAGTCAAAGATGAAACCTCTTTTTATTCAGTCATTTTTCCTCCCAAGAGAGCCACAGAGCCTGAACAATGGGCACCAGGGCACAACCTTTGGACAACCACTCAGCTGCATTTTGGGCACCCACGGAGCGGTGGAGGAGCATCCAGATTCACAGGCCTTATCTGGGGATGCTCGAGGAGCCAAAGCCAGCTCAGGCTCTCTCAGCGAGAGGACTGACCCTTTTTTCCCTGGATCTCGCCCACTGAGATGGCCACGTCAGGGCTTGTGGGCGCAGACAGGCTCAGGCTCGGCAGCCCCAGCTCCTTATCAATCCTCACTGCCCAAGAGGGTGTGTAGTTTGAAATAGCTTTAAAATATTTTACAGCTTTTATAGCTTTAATATATTTTACAGAATATTTCCATCACCGTGCTATGTGCCAAAATGTTTCACCCTCCTTTTTTTTTTTTTTGCCCCTAAACTTAGCAGTGAAAAAACAACCCAGAAAACCCAAATATTATTTTGTTCTGATTTCAGCAAAAATACAGAAGAATGCAAAATCCCCACTCTCATGTAACAGAAGTCAGTTGGGAATGTGTTTCTTGCCAAGCTGCAGATGCTCTTCGTAATCTCCCCTACTTTAAGACTGTTGAGAAGGTGTTGGCCAAAGGTGGAGAGGAAAGCAAGTCACGTAATGAAGGCAACCAGCTGTGCACCTTTTGCACGAAATCATCAAGGTGTATCTTTAGCAAGAAGAGCATAGTGGCACATGACCAGAGCAAGCCCAGCCCTGCCCGCAGTGCAGCCTCTGCCCGCAGACCGTACACAGCCAGCAGAGAGGTTCTCTTTATTTGCAGGGTAATTCTACCAGCTCTGCGTCTAACGGGGCAAACATTTCTGTGTGAGGCAAACGGTGCTCCCAGCGCTCACCCAGCTTCAGTTCTTTGGGCACAGCTTGCTCTTCTGGTTGAGGATAAAACGTTGCACATTTCAAAAGCCAAAACTTCTTTCCTTGGGTGAAATCTGCCTCGAGCCAGCAGCAGCCACCTTGAGCACCCACAGATCCCTCACGTGAATGCGCCAGCTGGCTCATCCCTAGGGCTGCAGGAGATGTCCTGGTCCTCAGGAGTTTATTTGGCTGCACTCATCTGGAGGGGTGCTCGTGCTGCTGCTCCATGGCCCAGAGGCAGCAGGAGGGGTTTGGTGGAGATGTCCCCAAGGCTGGTGGCAGAGAGGTCGGAGCAGGGAGCCGGCGGTGTGCTAGTGGCCTCCTGCCTCTGGCAGCTGGGAAGCGTAGAGAGCTAGTGTGTGATGGAGGAACTGGTACTGCTCGCTCGTCTGGATCATTCCACCTCTGCAAGGGAAAGGCAGGTCTCACTGACACCTCGTCGGAGCCCCCAGCCCGTCCCTGGCTCCCTGCTCCCCAGGCACAAATATTCCTGCTTCACTCACCACATCCAGGTACCTCTGAAACAGGTGCCAAAGAGTATTTGGGCTCAGAAGCATTTCTGGCCTGTTCAAAATGCAGATTAGCAACTGATTTGGCTCTGATTCTCAGAGGTGGCAAAATGGAATGTTTCTGGATTTAGTGGCTGGGCTGGGAGGAGGAGACCAGCTGCGAGGTTCAGAGCCGCTCTCGTCTCTCTCACGTTCTCAGTCCCCAGGGCTGCACTAGACCCAACAGCCAAACCAGCCCAGAACTAAGGAGTCACTTGCTGTTGACACATCGGCATCCTTCAGCAATCCTTGTTTCCATCAAAAATTGTCCCCACATCCCTCCTCCCGGGCTTGGCACCCAGCAGGACCCTCCGAGGAGCTGCTGCTCTGGGCACCCACCTGTCGATGCGGAGACGGCACACGATTCCCAGGATATCCACCTCGCCCTTGTCCTTCAGCTGCTGGCACCCGATCCTGGTGGCGATGAAGCAGCCTGTCCGGCCGATGCCTGCGCTGGGGACAGACAGAGCTGTGCTCAGCACCAACAGTATCCACTACCTGAAGCTTTACTTGTCAGAGCTGGACAGACTCCTGGAGTGGTTTGCTGCCATGATTTCTTCCTAGAGGGATGCTGGAGTCCTCATCCCAGCTGCCAGGCCAAATTTTTTAAGCAGGTACCAGAAGACATGGGCTAGTGCCACTACTGGGGCACGGGGGTCTTGACATGTTGCGCATCCCAGATGAGGTTTCTCTGGAAGCACAAAACCAGCTTGTGCCCCAAAACCTTGTGTCGTGCAGGGATCTCCACAGCCCCTTCACCTCCCCTCCCAGCTGTGCATGATGTGGTTTGCACCGGGGCAGGTCAGCCGACAGTGTTGCATGCCCACGGTGTTGCACAGGGATGGCCGGGTGCTCTGTCCCCAAACTCACTTCGCTGAGCTGTGGATGTGCCATGGGTCTGGTGGCTGTGTCCTAACTCTGCATACCTCACCTTCTTCCACCTCTCTGCCCACAGACCCAGATCTGATCCAGATTTCTGTACGAGGCACTATGCACCATCCTAATGCCACCATCCTCGTGCCAGGACAGGAGCTGCTGGTTGAACACCTCTGCTATGGGGATGCTGTGCCCGGGGATTCCTGCACCACACCGGGATCAGCTCACGAGCATTCGTGTGTGGTATTTTCCCGTACGGCATTTGCAGACTGACCCCAAGGTGAAGAGCACACAGGAGCTCAGAGCCGGGGAAAGCTCTTACCTGCAGTGCACGACGATGGGCCCTAGGCTGGCTGCAGCCTGCAGAGTCTCCTCCACCTTGGACACCAAGTGCAGCAGGGGCTTGGCTGACTCGGGTGTCTGCTGGTCCGGCCAGGAAGGGAAGAGGATGTGTTTGACCTGGCGGCATTCACCTTCAAGCTTTTCCAGTGCAGAAGAAAGAGAAGTCAGGATGTGGGAGCACAGGCTCACTGGGCTGGGCCAAATGAAGGCACGAAGTCCAGCTCCAGCAGAGGCTGGGCAGCCTGTGCCCCTCTCCTCCCAAATCCCTCTTTGAGCTCTGCCAGACACCCAGGAGAGACCCCTGGGCCAGGGAAGGACAATGGGGAGTGCCCCATCCCAGAAGATGGGAATAGATGCCGAGTGTCCCACTACTGTCCCCACAGCCCAGGCAAAGCCAGCAAGATCCTCTTGGCTAGTGTCAGCCCAGGGTGACTACAGAGAGCCCATGGGCAGAGCCCAATAGCACAGTGATATACAACAGTGGGCTAGTAAAGAATTTGTCCCCAGCTAGCCCCCTCTTCTCTGCACCCCAGGGCTGGATCCTGCTCCCTCTCAGCCTCCTCACATGGGTGGGAGGTCTGCAGACCCTTTCTCTGGCCGTGAACCTTCTGCTTTCCTGTCACACCACATTGCCATCCTGCTAGAGAGCCCTGCTAGACCCTGCTGGGCTCCCCCCTGACCCCAGGATGGAGCTCCAACCCACCTGGATGGAGAGATCCCGGACCACGTACTCCACGCCCTCGCTCACCCGCTGCGCGCGGATGGTGAAGGGGCCGTAGATGCCCTCCTTTTCAGGCCAGTAGTGGACACATTTCTGAGAGAACAAGGCAGGGTTTGTGGATGTGAAGATGCTTGAGGCACCTGCTGTGTTTTGGTCAGTGCTATTGGGAAGGGGCGTCACTTGGGGAGGTGTGAGGGAGTAGGGAAGGTGGATGTGGGGTGATAGAGAGGAGAAGCTGAGGAAGGAATCATAGAATCATAGAATCATAGAATCATAGAATGGCTTGAGTTGAAAGGGACCTTAAAGATCATCTAATTCCAACACCTCCACGGTGGAAAGGAACGCCTCCCACTAGACCAGGATACTCAAAGCCTCATCCAGCCTTGTCTTGAACACTTCCAGGTTCCTCACCCCACATCTGCTCCCCCTGCACCCTCTCCATGCCCTGCCACATGGCTTTCAGACCCCAGGGCTGCACATCTCTCCCCAGCCCCACAGGAGCTGAGCCTGGGCCAGTCCATGTCCTGCCGGACCCAGGAGGATGTAGGGCACAGGGATGCTGTGCCGGCAGGGGAGATGACCGGGACAGAGAATGTGAGCTCTCTCAGGTAGAGACCCCAGCCAAGGCACAGGGCACAGCACTGCCAGCTCCATCCTAGCCTGGATCCACCAGCCAGGAGCTGCCCGACTGCTCAGGGCTGGGGGAACGCTGCTGAATGCTGCTTCTGCTCCCTCTCCCAGGGGTTGCCCTAATCACCTTATCCTCTTACCCAGCTGGCAAAGCATGCCCAGAGCGTGAGAAGCTCTGCTGGGTGGGGCCAAGGCTGCAGCCCTGAGGCTCTCCTGCACCATGCGTGATCCATCACGGGTACCCTCTGAGAGCAAAGCAGGGAAAGCAAGTGGGTGCTCACATCCCATGTCTGGTCTCACATAACACCTTACTGCTCCTATTACCCCACCCTTTGCTCCTGGCTGGGGTGCTGGGCCTGGGGAGGGACAGCCGTACCTCTTTGCGCTCCTGGAGCTCGGTTATCATGATGATGAGGGGAGCCTCCTCCTGCCACACCATCTCCCAGAAGTCAGTCACGGTGTTCAGCATGGGTCCCTGGGTGGCAATGTATTCCTGGGGCCGCCCCGCGTAGCCCTGATGAGCACATGGTCCGTCAGTGACATTGCAGGAGGACCCTGATGCATGAGGGGAGTCTGTCTCCAGGCCACTCCACTCCAGTCCCCATGGAGCTTTTCTTCCTCTACAGGTGAGAGGCTGAGCCACACAGACTATTTCCTACTAAACCTGTCCTTGAAATGCTTTTACAGACACAATTGGGAACAACCAGATATCTTCTCCATCCTCCCGGTCCCACAATCCAGGAGCAAGCTTGTGAAGCAAGAGCCACATGCACCCAAGCTCTTTGCAAGCATCGCACCAGTGCTGCTGGCTCAGCCAAGGTGAAGCAGCAGCAGGCAGGAGCTGGAGGGCAGCGGTGTGGGAAAGCCTTCTCTCAGGGTTAGTAACATGTTACTCCAGCTCCCAGCTGGAGATGTGATTTGGCAGTACAGCAAGGAGTCAGGGACCCAGCTGAGGATGCCCCGAGGATGCGGGGGGAGGCACCCACAGTGCCCACACCTTTTGGAAAAGTGAGCACACAGCACTCTGGACAGAGCTTTATGGCTTTTTGAAAAGACATCTCAGCAAAAAATGCACCCAAACTCCTGTGATTTACTCCAGATCTTTCCAGCAACCCTGATAAATCCTAGTTTGGTCCCACAAGAAGTTGCACTGGCCCAGCCAAGGGGCAGGGACATTTTCAGGAACATTTTGTATGGCCCCTTTCTCATGCCTTAAAATTATTTCTTTTTCCTAGGAAACACGATTTTCCATTTAGGAGGCTTGCAGTAAGATCCAGAGACGTCAGCACTGGGAATTTTCCCCCACCTCAGAAGCTCAAAAAACATTTCGTGGGATATAGTCAGCAGAAAAAAACATTCAGCCCTAGGTGGGGGCTGATGTGCTTAAACAGCTGCAGAGCTCTTCCTGACTCGCTCTGTCTCCCAAGCATGCCAGAAGGAGTCTGGGGTGATAACTTGCTGATGCACCCACAAATTCCTGCACCGTGACACCCTTGGAGAGGTAAGCGCAAGGAAGGACCCAGGAAATACCAGCTACACACAGAGGTCTGTGGGCACACACGTGCTCAAGGTGTGTGCACATACATGTGCACGTGTGTGTGAGATAGGGATGGGTGGTGGTTGTGCCTTTTTGTTAGCACTCCTGTGAGACAGAGAGGGTGCCACATGCTCACGTACATCCTAATGGGTGGAGTGACGGGGTCACCCGATGTGAAGCTGCAGGCTGCCAGGCTCTTCTGGGAGGACTACTCCAAAAGCAGTCCTCTGCTGCCTGTGTTCAAACCCCTGGTTTGGACCAGCAAGCCTCCCAACAGTTTTAGGCACGGTCCAAAGCCAGCTTTGGGCCCCACCACAGCGTGCTGGCAGCTCGCATCGCTACTGTCTCGTTGGATCTCACCCATGAGCACCATCAGACAAAGAAGGGCTGCTAAATGTCCTCCAGCTCCAACCTGCTCCCTCGGATCACCTCCCAGGGGTCTGTCCCTCACACCAGAGGGCACTTTCATGGGCTACTTTTCTGGGTCCCACATTCCCATGGTCTCCTCCCTGCCATGCACCCAGAATGGCTGTGGATCCACCTCTGCTTCCCAGTGCCCCTGGCCTCTCCCAAGGGGAAGGATGCTGACGTGAGATGAAGTGCTCAGAAAGGAGCCTCCCCATCAGGCAGAGCTGGCCCCTGGCTGACGTGAGAGCCCGTTTCAAAATGATGGATGGTTCAGCACAGCCTGTGGGCTGCAGGCTGGAAGGGGTCATTTGCATAGGAGGATGATTATCGTCAATCAGGCTGCCTGAAGTAACAGCCTTAGGTCTGTGGACTTCTCAGTCTCTGGAAAGGGACCCCATCGGGTGTCAAAGATGAGTTGTGCCATCCCCTTCATTAGCAATATCTTGGGAAATAGCAATGAACCTCTTGAACAGAGAGGAAATTCCTGGATGTGTAAGGGCTAAACAGCAGCAAGCCGTGATGCTCTGTTGACACAGCTTGCCTCATGCCACCTTGCCAGACAACAGGCTAGGGCACGAGGAAGAGATGGAGAAACCACCGTGAGGTGGTGCGGGGGCTCAAGTCGCGCAAGCAGCGGGAGGAGAGAGCTGCCACCTCATGAGGCTTGCCCACCGAAACCGCCCTGTGTGGGTGTTGCCGCATCTCTCCAGCTCAGAAAGGGGTGGCAAGTTCAGGCTGATACCCCAGGGCACTCACAGGACGGTGGGTGACCAAAAGTGCCCCGGCACGTGGCTGCCAGCGTGGCACCTGCAGCACCCAGGAGTTTGCAGCCCGATGCCCTGTGAGCTGTGGGCTGCAGGACGTGGGAAACCACCCGCAGGGCACTCACCGTGATGTAGTTGGCATTTATGTAGCTGCCTTCCTCCTGGCTCCCCGCCCTCCTGAGGCAGACCCGGCTCTCAGGATCTGAAAGATGTGGGCAGGCATCACCGCAGGGACAATCTTTCAGAGCCTGGCCCTGCCCATCCTCCCTGCTCCAGAGGCTGGAGGCTGAGTCCTCCAGCTCCCTGACACGCTCAGAACCACCTGCACCCTCCCTCGGGCCCCTTCTTGCCCCACTTCCCCCTCACTTCCATGGCAGGGTACAGTCAGCCATGCCCAAACTTGTTGATGGCCCCCCAGAACCTTCCCACAGCGCCTGACTAGAGACCCAGTGAGTCCTCCTGCAATGTTTTCAGCCTTTACACCCCTAATGGCTGGCCCTTGGGACATGTAAGGCCCCACAGTGGCAGGGAGCACCCCAGGCTGGGCTGTCACAT